TGGTAGCTGCGGGAAGAGCAGGCAGAGGATTTTTGTTTTCTAAAGGGTAGAATAGACTGTGTGTGAGTGAGGCCATCTGGGACGCCTCAGTAGGGGAGGGAGATGCTGGAGCAAGTTCCTGAGTTGGTGGGAGCCAATGGGACAGAGTAGTAAGAGGAAGGCCCGGCCATCCGCAGAGCATTGGAGCAACAGGCCAGCCAGGACAGGAGGGCTGCGGCCATGGCCTCCAGGGCATCCTCTCCTGAGCGTCTGTTCTCTCAGGAGGCAAGGTCTTCAGCTGAGAGTGAGGATACTTTTCTCCCTGCTGACTCTGTTCAATTAACAATCGGAAGATGGTTAGATAGCTGTTGTACAAGGCACAGCGGTCACATAGAGGAGCCCTTAAGCTCCAAACAAGGTTTGACAGGGTAGGACAGGCGCTTGTTCCTGGAGCTTCGGGAGGGGAGGCTGTGGCTGCTGTCGCCGCTGCCATTCCTGCCCCACTTGCCTTGATCCGCACCTCTGGCCTCCATGCTTCTCTCACAGAAGTGGGAGACACTAAGAGTTTAAATAAAGAGCACTTATACTGCACGGGATGTCGTTGGGAGTTTGCTGCCCAGAGAGAACAGAACAAGGAAGCCAGACTGCATGAAAAGAGAAGAAGGGGACAGTCCCCTTCACTGAACCAGGAGCATGTAGTATAAAAAGAGATTTTACATATCAGGAAGATAAAGGCATGAGCACCCATTAAAAAATGGGCAAAGGGCCAGGCATTGTGGCTAACACAGGTAATCCCAGCACTTTGGGAGGCCAAGGTGGGAAGATCACTTGAGGCCAGGAGTTTAAGACCAGCCTGAGCAACACACTGAGACCCCATCTCTAAAAAAAATAAAAATTGGCCAGGTGTGGTGGTTTGCGCCTGTAGTCCCAGCTACTGGGGAGGCTGAAGTGGGAGAACTGCTTGAGTCCAGGAGTTTGAGGTTGCAATGAGCTATGAGGAGGCCACTGTACTTCAGCCTGGGCTACAGAGCAAGACCCTATCTCTAAAACATAAAAAACTTAAAAAACAATGGGTGAAGGATATGAGCAAATAATTCACAAAAGAGGAAATACAATTACCCAATAAATATTGTTAAAAGATAAACTTCAGCAGATTAAAAATTGTAAAGAGTTTATTTGAGCAAATAGCAATTCATGAATCAGGCAGCTCCAAACCCAAGGGGCATGAGGGAAAAGCTTTAGAGGGGAAATTTGGAAGGAAAGCAAAGCAAATATTTAATTGGCTAAAGTGGAGCAGAGCCTTACTGGATCATTCCAGTGGAAAGTACCTGGTTAGAAGTTAGTTGGTGGTTTCTGATTGGCTCCTTTTAGGCTGAGCATAGTGGCTCACACCTACAATCCCAGAACTTTGGAAAGCTGATGCAGGGAGGATCACTTGAGCCACGAGTTAGAGGCCGCAGTGAGCTATGATTGTGCCACTACACTCCAACCTGGGCAACGGAGCAAGACCATGTCTCTTAGAAACAAAAAACAAAAGGATATGACCTTTGACATTGAGTTGGGGTTTCAGTTCGCTTACGTAGAAACCCAGGGCAGGATGTGAGGGCAATCTGGCTGCGACATCTGTCACCTCATTGATCACCAGGGTTGATTTGGCTGATCTGGCTGGGTAGGCGGGTGTCGCCTTCCTCCCTCACTGCTCCATGTGCGTCCCTCCCGAAGCTGCACGCTTGGTCAAAGAGAACAGCCTTCCCCGATAGAGGAGCACCGTTCTTTGGTCAAGGATATATAAGTAGCTGCGCTTCCCTGCTAGAACCTCCAAACAAGCTCTCAGAAACCCAGGGTACCATGGCCATCTCAGTCTAATGGCCTCCCAATTAATTATTTTAACAACATAAAAAAAAAACTGTGCCTTACTGAGAATTTTAATATACAAATTACCATGGAAGTGATTTGGTCTGTGAGAGTGGCAGAGTCACAGATTCAGGCACCCTCTGCACTGCCAGAGGTGGTCTAGATGGTCTAGATGGTCCCCTTCTGGGGAAGAACCTGGCAGGATGTGATTTTAAATTGTTACAGCCTGTCTACTCACAGGCAATTATTTTAAGAAAAAATCAGCAAACTAAATAATGAATGACTGGTTGTCTGTTACAGCATCATTTATAAAGCAGAAAGCTTGGAAACAAACTAAATGGAAACCGGTAACTACACTTGGTTACATTCAAATACTGAAATACCATTCAACAATTTAAACACTCATGTTCTTAAAAAATATATAGAAGAAAATATACACTGTAGTGAAAAAAGTGAATTATTTTTTAAAGTTCAATTCTGCTTTTCCTTATAACATTTTCGCTGGGGGTGGGGGGTTGTTTTGTTTTTTAAGACAGAGTCTCATTCTGTTGCCCAGGCTAGAATGCCATGGCATCATCATAGCTCATTGTAACCTCCAACTCCTGGGCTCAAGCTATTCTCCTGCCTCAGCCTCCCGAGTAGCTGGGACTACAGGCGTGCACCACAATGCCTGGCTAATTTTTGTATATATTTTTAATTGTCCAGCTAATTTGTTTCTATTTTGAGTAGAGACAGGGTCTTGCTCTTGCTCAGGCTGGTCTCGAACTCTTGACCTCAAGTGATCCTCCCACCTCAGCCTCCCATAGTGCTGGGATTACAGCTGTGAGCCACCATACCCAGCCTATAACATTTCATTTATTTTTTATTCATTCTTAATAAATTACTTGAAAGAGAAATACCAAAATGTTATCAGTGCTTCTCTCTGGGACATAGGGTTGCAAATAATTTTTTATTTTCTTCTTTGTGTTTTTCTTTGCTCCTCAAATTTTCTACAATAACGAAACACAGGAAAAAATAATAAAACTCATAAGATGTTAGATATAGATGCAAATAAGTATTTAATAGTAAAAAAATTCTGAATGAAATAAAATTGTACAACTTACATATAACCCAGCAATTCCACTCCTAATCACCTCTACAGGAGAAATGACGTGTATGTCCAATAGACTCATACAGGAATGTTCACAGCAGCTTTATTCACAATAGCAAAAAATGGAAATAACCCAAATGCCCATCAAATGGTGAATAGACCAACAAAATGTGGCCTGTCCGTACAAGGGAATGTTATTCAGCCATAAGAAGGAACGAAGCACTGACACTTGGGTGAGCTTCAGAAACATTATGCTTAGTGCAAGAAACCACACACAAAAGGCCACATATTATAAGACAAAGCCACAGAGATAGAAAGTATGTTAGTGTTGTCTAGGGCTTGGGGCAGAAGTGGGGACTGACAATGGGCATGAGGTTTCTTTTTAGGGTGATGAAAATGTCCTAAAAATAGATCGTGGTGATGTACAACCCTGTAAATATGCTACAATTCATTGAATTGTACATTTAAATGGATGAATTTTATGGTCTATAAATTATCTCAATAAAGCTGTTTCTTTTTTTTTCTTTTTTTTTTTTTTTTGAGACAGAGTCTTACTCTGTTGCCCAGACTAGAGTGCTATGGCATCAGCCTAGCTCACAGCAACCTCAAACTCCGGGCTCAAGCAATCCTTTTGCCTCAGCCTCCAGAGTAGCTGGGACTACAGGCGTGCACCACCATGCCCGGCTAATTTTTTCTATATATAGTTTTAGTTGTTCAACTAATTTCTTTCTATTTTTAGTAGAGACAGGGTCTCACTCTTGCTCAGGTTGGTTTCAAACTCCTGAGCTCAAGCTATCCTCACGCCTCGGCCTCTGAGAAAGCTGTTTCTTAAAATAATTAAAAAATAAAATTGGTTCCATGATTTTTCACATAATGAATATACTAAGGCAACCAAGACCCAATGGTAACAAAACTCTATGACTCTATTTATATCTATAAATTCATCATGTTGCGAAGTATATCATATTTTGTTCTTTTTTTTTTCTTTTTTTGGAAATTAAAATGTGATTCTAAAATGTAGGTGGGGATATATGTGACCTAAAACTCATTAGCAGAATCCAAGCTGTTGGTCTTGTGTGGCCCCAGCCATTATCTCTTCTCAAAGGTAATGCTACCATCTTTCCCTATACTCCCGTGGATCGTTTTGAACTTTTAAGCAAATGGAATTATATACTACACACTCATATATCTAGCTGTTTTTTTCCTCAATATTATGTCTTTGAGTCATCCCTGTTGTGTGTGGCAATAGTAAACATTCAGATGTTTATTAACATCCAGTCCTTGTGATGTTAATAAAAATTCAGTCTTCATTGAAAAAAAATTGTATAGCTAAAACTCGATGGGTTTCTGTAATAAAAAGGGCCTTCATTTCTGCATGGACTTTCTCACTCTAAGAGGATCTGAACCGTAAGGACTTATAAACGTAAGAGCTTCGGGCAGGCCAGGAACAGGGTAACTGAATTATCCTGGTCTTAATCTAGTGCTGGTTCAAGTTCACCAGGGGGATACGGGCATATTGCTTCAAGTTTTCATAGTCAGATAGATATTGGGGTGAGTATATGACTCCCACCACCCTTGTCCTGAATGAGGCTCAGAGTATGGTCCGCCTTGCAGGAGGGCGTCCTCCTGTGGCATAGGCAGGCAGCACACAGGCTCAGCAATTAAGCAGGGCTGCATTCAAATCCTGCCTCCCCCACCCAGTACTCTTGACACTTTGGACAAACTATTTCACCTCTCCTAGCCTCAATTTTCTCATCTGTAAAATCAATGTAATAATAACATCTTTGTAAAGTTCTACAGATTAAATGAGATAATAGTTTTAAAGCTCAGTGCCTGGCACATAGTAAATTCTCCCCAAATGGCAGCTATTATTATTAGTAGCAGTAATGCTATTCTGGCTCCGAATGCTTCAGGACCCTAGGTATTAATATCTAGCATCATGGCAACATTCATACTGGCTATTTATAAAGAACTAACAGATAGGCTACTATTCTTGTTGCCGGTTTTTCATTTCTTTAATTACAGTGATCTAAGTGTTGTCTCTAACAAAAGTGAGTTGCTGTTGTTTTCATTGCAGACAGTTGCATCTATAAAAAGGTTTGCCCATTTAATGGTGGCTCTTTTTTGGTTCAACCCTCTGCGTCAGATTTCCAGTTCTGTTGGAACCAGGCTCCTTATGCAATTGGTAAGAAAACCTTTATCATAAGACTTTCCCCCTCCGTAGCTACGTCTAAAGTGTTCAATCCTGTGTAGGCAACTCACAGGCTTACTGCAAATTTGCCACCAATTGTGTGAGTGTGGTTAGTACTCAAAGTGTTCTTTTTCTTTTTAATTTTTTTTTTCTTTTGTTCCCCTTTTGGGACTATCATGTTCTCTTCCTCCTCATTCTTCTCAGTGTGAGCATGTGTGCATTTGAAGGCCATTAAATATCATTTTTCAGTACTTGGCTATCTTTCAGCACCTCATGTCATTTCTGGGCCTCACTTTCCTTTTTATAAAACTCAAGAGTGGGGTCTCCATCTTCAAAACACTGACTGACTCGGGGGAGAAGCGCAATGCTTTCAGCACCATTCGTATTATTTTGGAACTCAAAAGTCTAGAATCACAGAAACTCAGGTACTTGCCTGCCACTAAAATATCAGAACGTGAGTGGTGGTGCTTAGTGTTTGTGGCTCAAGATCCACAGCTGGGCATTGCCTTTGAGAGTCACATCAGAGCCAAGAATGTTCTAGTTCATACTATTTGCCTCACAGTAAAACTGTTTGTTAACACGTGCACATTGTAGAGTTTTGAGAGGCGGGCAGAGGGACCAACTCAGGATCCTGGGAGGACTGGTCAGGTTTGATGACAGATTAGATATTGTAAATGGAGAGGGAAGAGTGGAAAATGACCTCCAGGTATTGAGCCACAACACTGGAGGTGACCTCCTCACTCGGGAGGTCAAGGCTAGAGGCACGGGAAAGCCAAGAGGGCGCTGTGAGGGAGAGAACATGAAGTGGCCAGTGGAAAAGACGGAGGGGGTCACAGGGCAGTCCGGGCAGGTGCCATGCCTGGATGTCAGGTGTCCTAAAAACCATTTCAGGAAGAGGGGCTGGCCTTTAATAAATAACAAGCCCACTGACACGGGAGACACTGTGAGGGCCAGTGAGGAATAAAGTGCAGCCTCTGCCAAGATACACAGGAGGGGAGCAGAGGAGGGACCAAGAGCTGAGGACACATGGGCTGGGCCTCGAAGATTGACTAGAGGGAAAGGTTTCCAGGCACAATGGCCTGGGCCTCCAGGGAGGGTGTGTCAGGCTGTGGTCTGGACAATAAGGGGGGATGTCCTGCAGGACTTTGGCAGGTGAACCGCCAGGAGACTGGGTGGCAGGGCTTCAGTAGGGAAGACGGAGCATAGCCACTGGGGCAGGAGGTTGGCACCTGGGGGAGAGTGTCTTCGGAGTGATGGCTACCTTAGGATCAGGGGATGTACACGTGTGAAGGAAGGAGAGAAGCAGCCAGAGGAATGGGAGAGATGGAAGTTTCTGGAGAAGTGAGGACTGTGAGACAGTCCCCCACCATGCCAGTGGCTGGAAGGTGACATGCCCCTTACCTTGCAGTCTGTGCTTTCCCGTACCTCCTGGCCTTCACCACCGACTCCATGGAGATCCGCCTGGTGGTGAACGGGAACCTGGTCCACACCGCAGTCGTGCCGCAGCTGCAGCTCGTGGCCTCCAGGGTGAGTAGGATTGGGACTTCATTGCTGCTAAGAGATGCCGGGAGCCCCGTGAGAGTTCAGCTGAGCACGGAAGCTGCCTCTGTCGAGCCAGGCTGATGGTGACATGTGTCAAAATGCCAGAGTGAGATGAAAAGGCTGAAACCAGACTGATTGGTTGGGCTTCAGAACACTCCTTGGTTTTGTTAATAGAGCCATTCAGTGCTGGTGACAGCTAGGGAGCACTCAGCTGAAAGAGAAAGCCCCATAGGCGACTGGGTCCGTTATCCATGTCACTGTTGCACTGAAGGGCAGTCTAAGCCTAGAAAAGTGGAAAGTGCTTACAACAGCCCTTTCTTCTTTGCCACTCTGTCCCCAGTTTGAGTTCACATCCTATGAAACATAGCTTATTGATAATCCGTGTCTACTAACCCAGAGTTGAAGCAAACCCGAGGGATGCAGGAACAACCGTGACTCCCAAGGTGCTGTCTGTGGCTGGCACCTAATCCAGGAGGTCTTGTTCTAGGCCCCTCCCCTGAGTCAGCCCCACAAAGTCTTCCCTGGCCCTGCCAGACGGGGCTGGTCCCCCACTGCAGCCCCTGTGGCACATCCTTGATCCTGAGATTCATCACATCAGGGTGGCCGGGGGACTGCTCATTTGTCCACCTTCCCTGCTGCACTGACAATTCTGCGAGAGCAGGGCCCTGCTGTGTTATGTGCCAACACAGCACCAGTGGTGGGCTGGAAAGTGACCACCAATGCCCCGAAAACGTGCGCGCGCGCGCGCGTATGTGTGTGTGTGTGTGTGTGTGTATTATATATATATATATATATTAGCTGATTGTAAATTTTACTGATATAAAAATAGCTTACAATTTACAAATAATAAAATATGCAGTGTTCTTTATTATAAAATCCATTAGCCAGTTGGTTCTCACAAAATACTTCTGTTAATTCTTGCTGAACTCTTGTATCCGTGGCCAACCTACAGTTGCAATTCAACCATGATTTTACAGTTGGAGTTATATCTCAATCCACTTGTTCTTTTTCCAATAAGTTTATTGTCATTAAATCTGATATGTGATCTATTAAACTATTTCTCACTCTCATACAAATCATAGTCATTAAACTAAAACTTCTTTCGGCTTCTACACTAGACTAAACACACTCTAAGTTTCATCTTTATTATCAAAATTTTCTTCATGTTAAGTCTAGACAATCAAAAAAACAACAAATCAAGCTCTAATTGGTAGCATTTGCAATTTCTGTGGTATAAATAGTCCCACCACGACTGATTTCAAGCTTCCAGCGTGACACCACTGCAGGCGGAGGTGGGGAGAGATGTGCGAAACCGCCATGGTGCAGTGTTTCCCCTGCACAGCTACTGTGGATCGGTAACCTCAAGAGCAATGGTGATAGTGTCATCAAATAATTAGGAATGGTTGAATTTTGATATTTAGGGCTTTTAATATTTATTCAGGTTCGTATAATTTAATTTTTAATAATGTGTTTTATCAGCCAGCTTGCAAAATTCTTGAAAATTCACTCACATAAGTCACATCCAGCATACCACCACTGTTCTCACCAAAGCCACCACATTGTGGGTGTGCATGAGTATTTGCTGAACCGGCGAATGAACCATCCATCTCCCTGTCTCTGAATGGGCCTGACTGAACCCCTAAGGTCCTTTCCAGTTCTAACACTCCAGGTGCCTGAGATTCCTGTAAGGGAAGTGCGTGTTGTGTTTGTGTTTGCAGAAGTGTGGAATGTTGACTGTTTTCTGTTGTCAGTGTTAGATAAGGAAGAGTAGTGGGAACTGAATACTCAGGAAAAGCCTAACTATTAATATCTTTCCTCTGGAAGCTGCCAGCATCTGGTACTGCACTGCATGCTCCGAGGATGTCACAGCTGAGCCTGGAGACCAGTTGGAGGCTTTGCAGTGATGGCAGGAGGGCCAGTGGATGCAGGGCCTAGAATGCCATGCAGCTTGGTAACGCTTTCTCTTTCTATCTAGTCGGATATATACTTCACGGCAGCCGCGACTGTGCACGAGAACTCATCTGGAGGCAGCTCCAAGGGGACAAGCGCTCATAATTCTCCTCAGACACCCCCAGGCCGAGATACTCCAGTATTTCCTTCTTCCCTGGGGGAAGGTGAAGTCCAGTTTTTACTGCTTTATTAATATTTTCAATCCACTCTGATTTCTCTAGTCATTGTCAAATATCTACATATGATTATTGCCTAAAGAAGTTACTATTTAAAACCATTTTAAAAACTTGCAATCTGGATGCATTGGTTTCATTCATAAGGAACCTTGTGATAACAAAAAGAAAAAATCCCATTATAAAAAAAAATTGTTTCAGTGGGGAGAAGGGAGTTAAAGGTTACAGGGTTTCCAACTTGGCAGCAGCAGTTATTTTTCCTTCAGGGCTGTTAACAATAGTGGGTTTTTATAGCTAAAGGTATATATATAGTTATAAAGCCTAGACATTCCTCAGCACGCCTGGTCTTTCACGCTATCCAGCTTTGCCTGTGAACCCCAGAGGTCTTTGCTGTTTGCTGTGGTTACCGCATTGCTCTGAACAGAGCACTTTTCTTAACTTCTTACCACATCAGTCGTCTTTATCGCTACTGTTAAAGCACAAAGTTCCCCAAGCAGAGCAGCTTTTTGCTTTTCTTGTCTAGTCTTTTTTTTTCCCCCCTGTGCAGGTGTAATCAGTAGTGAGTGTATTCTATCTAATTTACATGTGAAAACGATGCTTTTAGGAAATTCAAAGCCATCAGGCCCCCTCATGTTAGTGCTCCCTGCGGGCCTCCCCATGGCGCATAAAAGTCTCCCTTCATGCCAACTATGTTGAGGAACGAGAAATTATTCTCTCGTAAAGAAAAAACTTTTCTTACAGTGCTAATGTTGCTTTCTAAATCATATTTCAGGTGAAATTCAGTCCAAAAATTTGTACAAGATTCCACTTAGAAATCTCGTCGGCAGAAGCATCGAGCGACCCCTGAAGTCGCCCTTAGTCTCCAAGGTCATCACCCCACCCACAGCCATTGGAGTGGGCCTCGCCGCCATTCCCGTCACGCATTCCTTGTCCCTGTCTCGCATGGAGATCAAAGAGATAGCAAGCAGGACACGCAGGGAACTGCTGGGTAAGGCTCTCCGTCTTGTGCTACCACTGTTGGTGAACCTACCAGCTGGTTTTATCTTTGGATATCAGTCGTCCTCAAAACAATGAGTTTAAAAAGAAACTTTCCCTTTAAGAAAAGATTTATAAATAAATTATAGTACATCCACACCAAGGAATACCACATAGTGTACCCACCAACAATGATGTTATCAGTCTGTATTCATTGGCATGGAAAGAGCTGCCCAAACCATGTTAAGGAGGAAGTTATAACACTGTGTCCTTTAGAAGATACCAAGGGACCAAAAAAGCCACTATGTCTAGTCTGATACAATTTTCTAAAATAAAAGTACCTATATAGGTCTGATTTCCTAGAAAACTGTCTAGAGGAATTTATATCCTGCAGGTTTCAGATAACATTTTCTATTGGTATATCGGATATGTCCCAAAGTGGAAATTGACCGTGTTTTCACAGGTGTGTGTGCAGTTCACTTATCACTTCTCCCAGCCCCTAAGGGGCAGGGCTGTGGGGACAGACGCAAAATATTGAGATTTGTGCAGCCCTTCTCTCTCAGTCAGTGTACGGGGGGAGGCCAGGCCAGAGAAACACAAAGCATCTGTTAATTTTGAAAAGGCTAGACTATTATAAAGCTTTTTGTTCAGATTTGTGGAAACGAAATGAAGAAAAATGTCAAACCAGTAAAAACTGGTTTGAAAAGTCAGATTGGGATCTGCAGGCATAAAGCTTGTGAGGACAGCTGGCCTGAGCACGCCCTGCCCTGCAGGAATGTTTCCTGACAACTCGAGAGGGGACCAGGCAGCCTGACCTGGCAGACTTTACCCTGACAAAGTCAGTTGATTTTAGAAGGTGGTGCCTTCCACTGTGTTTTTAAACATGTATTTTGAAATTTTTAACCCATCCTTCCATATCAAAGCTTGATCTGCCAACCACTGTTTTACAAACCACTGTGCTTTTGAGAACTGAACATCTGAGTTGGAGAATTATAGAGTTACCAGTGATAGCATTGTAGAAGATCTTGTCTCCTCATTAGGCTCTTTTGAGTCTTTTTATTTTATTTATTTATTTTTTGCAATGCATGTATACTTTATAATCAGAAAAAAACACCTTCTACCAACAAGAAAACCAATTATTTGAAAATATATATTCCATCATCTTTCCTCCTGACTCTAGCCCAATAATGTACTAATTCCCAAGCGAGGGCGAAAAAAGGGCATTTTCTGTCTCCATGGCAGCCCTGTCACAGTGACCCTGACTTAAAATTCTTCCCTATAATCCAGGCCTCTTGGATGAAGGTGGACCCAGGTCAGAAGGAACGCCAAAAGCCAAACCAAAAACCCGGAAGCGGTTAGAAGAAAATCAAGGAGGCCCCAAGCCAGGGGCAGTGAGGTCAACTAGTAGTGACAGGTAAAGAGGGGGGAGAGGCCCCTGCTCAGGGTGCTGGCCTGTGAGTCACAGCACTGTCTGGGAGGCCCTTTCTGCAGACTAATGATGCCATGGATGGCCCCTTTCGCCAGCCACAGTGGAGGGCCAGCAGCCAGATGCTCTCTGAGAGTTCCCGGGGAGCACAGCCCACCAGGGAGGGACATAGACAAATGGGCAACCTCACTAGTAATCAAAAAAATGCTCATTAAAATATATTAAGAGACTTTTTTCTTCATCAGGTCAACAGAAATATTTAAAAACAGAAATGCTTAGTAAGAGTGCAGGGAAACAGGGACTTTCCAGGACTGGTGGCACATACACAGTACAGCCTTTCTGGATGGCAGGTTGGCATCACTTGTCAATGCATAGTTGTCAAATCACACTTATTTGTGCCATGAGATCTCTGTTGTCCTCGGGCAACATCATGCATGCTCCTGTGTGGTGGGTAGTGGGGCATTCACATCCAAGTTCATTCATTCACTCAGCACATTCTTGGAGTACATTCTAGTGTGAAGAAACACAATAGACCTGTAAATAAGTAAGCAAATTAAGTCATTTCAAATAGTGACAAGTCCCATAAAGAAATTTAAAAGAAAATAAGTTATAGGGTGGCAGGTAGAAGGTCTGCTTTGAGAGGGGGTCAAGGGAGGCTTTCTGAGGAAGGACGTGGCATTGAGCTGAGCTTGGAACAAAAGATACAGAGCTGGGGGAACAGCCCCCTGACAGCGGGACTTGGGGGAAGGGCCCTGAAGCGGCCCAGCATGGCCAGCTAAGAGACAGAAGGAAGAGTGGACAGGCTTGAGCACAGAGAATGGAGCCAGAACGGTGTGAGAGTGAGCAGAGGCTTGGCCAGCTGGGCCTCTGTAGGCCCATGAGTATTTGTGTAATGTATGAACTCCCTGAGAAGCAGGAATCGATTTTGGTCAAACTAATCATGTAGCTCTGGAGAGAGTCCCAAGGACCTGGAGAAAACGGGGAGTTGGGGTTGCCTGGGAGACTGGAGGGGTCAGCAGGCCAGGTCCCAAACCTTGGCTGTGAGTAAGAGTTTCAGCTTCCTCTTCAGGACCTGGGCAGCCATGGGAGGGAGCATTTTAGACAGAGTGACTTTACTTGGATTTGCACTTTAGAAGGGTATTTAATAGGTAAATAATGCCTCACAAACACCTTCTATGTGTCATACACCCATCCTTTTATCCTCACAGTCACCTCTTGAAGTAGCCAGAGCCTGAGCTGGAGATGAGGGTAGCAATTCCTGCACTTCCCACCTCTGCCCCATAATAGCGGGGGTCGGGGGAGCCAAGCTTTTAGGAGCTCACATGAGCAGGAAATTGCAGGACAAAATGGGCCCAGTTCTGTGGTGCTCCCATGGATCCTCTTACAGTGACTCGTCTCTTCTAGGATCCCATCAGGCTCCTTGGAAAGTCCGTCTACTTCTGAAGCCAATCCCGAGGGGCGTGACCATTCGACCAGCTCTGACCAGGACCCTGCGGCAGACAGAGAGGGCAGCCCGGTCCCGGGCAGCAGCCCCATCCCGGGCAGCAGCCCCTTTCAGCTCCCAGCATCCTCAGATGAAGACATTATCGACTTGAAGTAACAGAGTCCAAATCTCATTTGCCATTTTTCATTTTCTTATAAACGTTTATACTCTTTAAACAGTTCCCACGTCACTTCTCAATGAAATATGGCTTTTAGCCTGTCAGTGATCTATTGGACCAAACCTTCTGCACCCTCGGCCAGTTGGGGTCACTCTCCAGTGTCCGGTGCCATCTTTCTTGACCTTTGTTTCTTTCTGTTCAGGAACCATCAGTCCCCTTGTAATAAAGGTGGTAGATTTCATTGAGGTTTTAGATTGAAACTTTGAATAAATCAAAAATATTCATTCTTAATTTACTGCAACCTTCTCTTATATTTTATATATTTAGATGGAAAATTATTTTTTCATTACAGTTTTGATTTGTGTCACATAATGTGTTTCTCTTATAAAGAAAGCCATTGCTTTTTAACTTTATTATAAATAAGTTTTCTTTCTGTACCTTTGGCCCCTGTTGCTGTTTCAGTTCACTGTGATTGGAACCAGCTGCATTCCTGCCTGTAGATGCTTGAGAAAAACTGGCTAGATCTTAGAAGCTCCTCCTTCCTCCTGTGTCTCTTGAAAAATAATAAGGTATAGGAGCTGTCAAAAGTCTTAAGATTATTTTGTCTGGTTTTATTGTTACTCTGCAATCATATAATCAGGGAACAGTTACTCCTGGTGGTCAAAAGTATTGTCTAACTCCTCCTTTTGTGTGGGTCTCCCTTACTCTTTCACATAAACCAAGTAATTATCCTTGTTATCATTTATCTGCCTTCCCTGGCTCCCTCTCCAAAGTGAGCAGAAAGAAATGTGGATTGGGCCAAGTGCAAATGTAATAGTGAAATGTCAGCCACTAGCCAGGGGAGATCAAAGGGGGAAAATCCAGTTTCACCAACATTGTTTGTAAACTTTTTTTTTTTTTGAGACACAGTCTCACTGTTGCCCAAGCTAGAGTGCAGTGGCGTCATCATTATAGCTCACTGCAACCTCCAATTCCTGGGCTGAAGTGATCCTCTTGCCTCAGCCTCCAGAGTAGCTGGGACTACAGATGAGTGCCATCCTGTCCGGCTAGTTTCTCTATTTCTTGTAGAGATGGGGTCTCACTTTTGCTCAGGCTGGTCTTCAACTCCTGGCCTCAAGCGGTCCTCCCGCCTCAGCCTCCCAGCGTGCTAGCATTACAGGCATGAGCCACTGCGCCGGATGTTTGTAAAAATTTTAATCTGTGTGAAGAAGGTAATTTACCTGTGGCTTTATTCCAGGTGATTCCATTTTATTATATCTCTTCTTGCCTACGTTACCTATCAAAAGAAACTTTTATTATTTACCCCCTGTTAAAGCAGATCTGAAGAATTCTTCTGCAGGTCTTTTTAAGTGCAAAAACTATTTGACAGGACTTTGATCTGAAAGATTTTACAGAAGTTTGGATCCTATCTGCTTGTGGGTCTTGCACACTGTGAGGAGAACTCCTCTCTCGTCTTCTGCATAAACAGTTGGGCGTGCTGAGCCCAAGCTGAAGGCTGCCTGGCTCCTCTTCAGCAGAAGGCAAGAGGCAAGAGTAGCAAAGATGGTGCTTTATAGGTATAGCCAGGTGGGGCTGTTTGTCACTAAATGTGTCTGCTCATAGTCTTTGCAGCACTTAGCATTCCGAGTCTTCCCTTGATGTTTTGCTATGCCCTTTTCATATATAGGCGAAAAAACACAACCACAAACTGCATCTCAACCCCACCAACAGTTTTGTGAACTGTGTTTTATTATTCCTGCTTTCCAATTAAGGAAACAGGCTCAGAAGAGGGCAGGGATTTGAACCTGTGAGTTCTTTGACCCCAGAGCCCTTGCTTTCTGCCCTGTCCGCCTCAGAGAGCCAGGCTGAGTGCCTTGTGTCAGCTGGATCCGGCTGATGTTTTTCATGTTAAACTAATTTGTAAGCTTTTTGAGCTTTTAACTGTGTTTTTCTGTCATTTTTTTCCCTCCTTAAGTTTCTTGCTTCACAGCCTGGAATAAAAAAACCAAGGGTTATTTAGAGCATTCTTCCAAATCAGTATTAGAGCCCCCCACGATTTGACAGGAGTCACAGATCTGAGTGCATGTGGAGAGGGCAAGAGGTGGACCCTACTCATCAGGCGCATGGTGCTTTCCCTGTAAAAAGGGGGTGGGAGGCTGTTCTGGCAAGAATATTTGCTTGCAACAGCTTTGAAGCGAATTCTGCACACTCAGGGAGAGGGTGACCACCAGCCACAGGGCAGGAACAGGTTTGCCTGGGTCCATGGCACACAGGGCTGTCTGGCACTAGCTGGGCTCCCTGGAGTATCCTGCCTACATAAGCTTCGCCTATGCCACTGTCTGAGTTACAAGTAAACTCTAACTGCAGCAGTTTGCCTGTGGAGTTTGAGGTATTCATTCACTCTGCAAACCCCAAGTGCCTGCTGTCCAGAGGAGGTCATGTCCATTGGGGAAAGAGAGACGTCAACAGGTGCTTACAAAGCAGTGGTAAGTGCTAAGAACCTACAACTCGAGCACAAGATGCTGTGGGAGCACAGAAGGGCAGTTGCCTAAGTCTCTAAAAATAGTCTTGTGGTCCAGATTGAAAAAAGTTGGTTGCTAGAACAATCCATCGGGTGACTGCAATATGTCAAACAACTATTGTGATCATACCAGCCAGTATTTGAGTGCTTCCCATTTACTTGGTCTTTTCCATACACCACCCTGCTCACAGCTCTCCTGGAAGATAATGATCATTCCCACTTAGAAATGAGGAAACAGAGGCCCAGAGAGAGGTTACAAGCCAATCCTCCTACTCCCACAGCCATGGTTCTTTGCAGAAGTACACCGCCACTCCACTGCAGAGGCGCAGAGGTGGGCTGCAGCGCGCAGGGCCGCGCCTCCGTCCCCAGCAGCCCAGCGGGAGCGCGGGGCCAGTCTGGGTGTCCGAGAGGAAAGGCAGCCAGGACAGTCGGCTTGGAGACCTTCGTCCTGCAGCTCTCAAGCGGCAGAGCTGGGCCTGGCAGAGGGGTCAGGCGCCTACAACATAGGTCCCCCGATCAGTGGTTAACCCAGAGCAGGCAATGCAGACACGACGGGGGAGTACAGTCGCAGCCACGCGGAGTTGGCTGGGGGAGTTCAGGGCGGGAGCCAACGCGCTCCGCCTTCGCCCCGCCCCTACCCTTATTGGTTAAAGCTAGATTGAAAGGAGGCTCCAAGGCAAAAAAAAAAAAAAAACAAAAACCAGCAATCCCCCGTCCTCCACCCTCATTGGCCAGCTCAGTTCTGAGACAGCTTTATGGCCCCGCCTATGAGCTCGCACCATACTCCAATTGGATGGTTGTGCTCTCCAGACACAAAGTCCGCCCCACCTCTACATTGGGCTGCTCTGTCCTAAGGGCGGTTCCAGCGCGATTCGCCAACTGGTTCTGTGCTTCCACTGGTGTGCCTTGATTTGAAGGGCGGGGCCTAGTGCGGACGCTGACCCCACCTTGCGTTTCCATTGGCTGCTCCTGCAACCCAGTCCGATCCCGCCCCAGCACCTCCCCGCACCTCCCATTGGCCGGCTCTGCTGTGAGAGGCCGGTGCGAGCCGCACTCGCGGGACCCTCGGCGGTTCAGGCGTCCAAGCGGGCTGAGCAGGCGTTGGCCGCGGACATGACGCCTGAGGACCAGGAGGAGGCCCAGCCGCTGCTGGGGCCGCCGGGCGGCAGGTGAGCGCCAGGGGGCCCGGGCCCGGGACGCGGCCTCGCCCTCCCACGCCACCCCTGCCGGCGCCGCTCACCCACCGCCTTTCCCCGCAGCGCTCCCCGCGGCCGCCGTGTCTTCCTCGCCGCCTTCGCCGCTGCCCTGGGCCCGCTCAGCTTCGGCTTCGCGCTCGGCTACAGCTCCCCGGCCATCCCGAGCCTGCAGCGCGCCGCGCCCCCGGCCCCTCGCCTGGACGACAGTGCCGCCTCCTGGTTCGGGGTGAGGCCCTGGCTCTGCCCGCCCGGCCTGGGAGCCCCGCGCGCACCGCTCGGACGGGCGCCGCAGCCCTACCCCTGCCACCCCTTGGGACAGGAGCCGAGACCCCCGGCCGCGTCCGTCCCGGCCCCCCTGCCCAGGTCGCCCCTCCCCGGCCGCCAGCCCCGGACCCCATCCCCGGACCCCATCCCCTTCCCTCTGAAGCGACGGGTGGAGGACGAGGTGGGCTGCGCCCCAGGGCCCCGCCTCAGCCCACGGTCGCCCCGCCCCCAGGCCATCGTGACCCTGGGCGCCGCGGCGGGGGGCGTGCTGGGCGGCTGGCTCGTGGACTGCGCCGGGCGCAAGCTGAGCCTCCTGCTCTGCACTGTGCCCTTCGTGGCCGGCTTTGCCGTCATCACCGCGGCCCAGAACGTGTGGATGCTACTCGGGGGCCGCCTCCTCACCGGCCTGGCCTGTGGCGTTGCCTCGCTAGTGGCCCCGGTGAGTGGCCCCCCTGCCTCGCGGCCTGAGACCGAGGAGGAGTGGGGCAAACCGCTCCCACACTTGGGGGCGTGGCTGTGCCTGCTGGGCCTCCTGGGTGCGGGCACCTTGGGTGATACTTGCTTTATCTCCGAACCCTCACGTCGCCCCGGGGGCCGCAGTTGTTATCTGCCTTTTGCAGATGAAACTATTACAGAAACTTTGCCCAGGCAGGGTCCACAACTAGCCAGCGGTGAAGCTGTTGCTGGAACCCAGGATTGTCCCCCTTAGCTGTGCCTCTCAAACAGGTGGCACCTGTGGGTGGTCAACAGGAGCCTCCCAATATGGCTTTAACACCCTGTCTCAGATCACTGGCTGCAGTTAGCAGGAAAATCCTGCTCTGATGTGTCCTGGGGCAAAGGTTTCTCCCTCAGCCTCTCCTGGCCCAGCCTGCTCGCTTGGGGGCCCCGCACACCTGGGCCAAATCCTGGCTCTGCCACTTACCTGAGTCTGGGCCTCAGTTTCCTTCCCTGTAAAGTGGGGATTATGGCATTACCTCAGAAGGTGGTAGCAAGGATTCAGTGAGACTTTGCACGTACAGTCCCTGGGATGGCTCCGGGAAGGACTTGGACCCTGGCAGGTGGGACTGCTTGGTGACTGGTGAACTGTAGCTGCCCCTGGGCTTGGGCCACCAGCCAGCCACACCTCAGCCTGGTGGGGGTGGAAAGCAGCAGCTCAGAGCCCTCCCTGTGTGTCCCCTTGTGCTACTCGTTCCACTGTACTTGCCAAGCAGTGGCAGCTGGGTCAGTAGAGGGTGAGGAAGAAACTGGGGATTTCATGGTTTGGGTTTTTTACTGGGCACCTATCTTAGCTATGGACATAAGGCTTAGAAATACCTAGAAGCATCGGTGAGGCCCTGGTAGCCCCTGAGCCCAGAAGGAGGGAACAGTAGCAGTCACTGGTAGCAATTGAGGTGGTGAGTTCCTGCTTCTCAGTCCAAGGGCACTGCTCAGAGTGTGGTCCTTGGGCCAGCGGAGTGGGTGTCACCTGGAGCTGGTTAGCAAGGCAGGATTGGGCCCCACCCCAGACCTACTGCATCAGAATCTGCATTTTATCAAGGGTGTTTGTGCACATTAAATGGAGGTTGGAAAGCTCTGTGCCTTCCTCTCGCCCTCACATACAGACAAAGCAGCCACCCACTACCCTTAATCCCCTTTCAACACCTGCTACAGATCATTTGTAGGGGGGAACCTAGGGAGGGCTCTGCTGACCTCAGCCAGTTCAATTAGGGGGACGCAAGGCCTGCAGCAGCCCCCATCAGGACTCTCCTTATCTCTGAATGGCTGAGACTTTTCGATTTTAAGAACTCTTGGACCCCAAGTAAAGTCTCATCTTAATCACCGCAGGTCTATATCTCTGAAATTGCCTACCCAGCAGTCCGGGGGATGCTCGGCTCCTGCGTGCAGCTGATGGTCGTCACAGGCATCCTCCTGGCCTACCTGGCAGGTATAGTTGTCATTATCTCTTTTGGTCTCTGTTCATGGCCATGTGGCCATTTTGTGGCTATAGAAACTGAGGTTCAGAGAAGTCAGGGGACTGGCCTGAGGTCACACAGCCAGTGCCCATGGTGCCAACATCCAGACTGCCTAGCTGGGACCTTGTAATATGTGGGTCTTGTGACTAAGTTCTAGGGAGAGCTGGAGAAGGCAATGTCCTTGGCTCCCCAGAAGGCCACTCCAGGGGTGTGGGAAAGGCTGACTGGTTAGGTCAGTACCTTACTGTGCAGTGACAAACCGGAGGCTTCCAGGGGCAGGTGGGGCACTGAAAAACTCTTCAGCCGAGGAGCTTGAAGGGCCGAGTGGGTCTCCCTAAGAATGTCAGTGCCGGGTTCACCATGTCAGTGAGGTGCAGCGTGAGGGAGGCCGGTTCCTGGGGGCCCAGTGGGCAGAGCTGGAGCCCGCTCAGGGAAGCTTCAGGAGGCAGATGTGTTCTCGTTCAGAAGAGCAGGCTTCCAATCTGACGGTCTTGGGTTTGGGACAGCCTCTGCTACTTGCTGTGTGATCTTAGCCAAGTCACACCGCCCCTGAGAGCCTCAGTTTGTGTCTTTAAATGGAGATAACCCCACCTAGTCCAAGGCTGTTGGGGGATGAAAAGTGCCTGGCAGCAGGTCCCAAATGAGAATTGTCAGGAATGGCTTGAGGACTGCGGGGATCGGGGTGGGGACCTCGGTGGGCTCAGGGGCCTCGAGAGCTGTGGTCTGGCCTGGGGCATGCGCCCTCCAGATCTTCAGATTGGACAATATTCTGTCCTTGGTCTTTCATTATTAACCCACTTACCATCCTAACTAATTCAGAATCCTGCCAGCAGTCTGGCGGCCCTGGGAGCCCTGCAGTGAGCCAGAGCCCCACTGTACACAGACATTGACGTACATGGTTTGGGGACAGATACTTGGGTGTCAATTGCCCGTAGCATTACTGTCATCTCATCGTTAAATACCTGTTGCTTCTGCTTCTCATTGATCGTTTCTGGGAGTTTTGATCCACTTGGGGGGTGGGAAGGGTTACTCTGTTAACCCCACAAAGTGACACAGTGGTCACACGTTTGCTTCACTTCGGAGCAATAATGCTCCACCAGCTAGGTTTATGGAATAGTTATGATTTATCTGCACCTCCCAGGACAGAGGAAACACAGGTACTTCATGGCTATCACAGAGGTGTTTCTCCACTGGGAACTGGGGGTAGGTAAGCTTTGGGCTTAGGGAAAATTAAAAACTAGAGAGTCTGTGCCCTAAACTCATTTATTCCTGGGCCCCTTTCTCAGAGAACCTTGACTTTATTTCTTTACTTTGAGATGGGGTCTCACTATATCACTCAGGCTGGTGTCGAACTCCTGGCCTCAAGCGATCCTCCCACCTCAGCCTCCCGCGTAGCCGGGACTACAGGCACGCGCCTGTGACTTTATATAAGGCTGGATAATTCTGCATTTATGTTCTTCAAACGTGATTGAGAAAACAGAATCCTACAGTCTCCTTAATTTCATTTATACTTTTAATAGATAATACGTTCAAACGATTCAACATGTCCAGTGAAAATCCTCCCCCACCTCTGTCCCCCTTCCTGTCTGGAAGCATTACCTGTCCTTTCTAGCCTTCCAGAAAGTCTGTGCATGTATGAGGAGCATGCATATTTATTCTCCCTCCCTCATTACTCAAATATGCTGTATCATATGCAGTGAGCCACTCATTCTCTTTCATGGCAACAGAAATATTTCACTGAACAGATGTAGCACGGTGATGTTTGTATTGACGGACTACTGGTGTGGCTGGCCCGTGCCGTCAATCTTCATGACCAATAATAATGACGATGTCAAAAACAAACACGAAAGTAGCTGTGCAAAGGTAGTGAGGTCCCCACTCTTGCAGCTGAGTCCCTGGGGCTGGCAAGAGTGGAGCAGGTGCTACCCGAGGGTGGGCCGGGCTGGCTCTGACGCCTGCCCCCCAACCAGGCTGGGTCCTGGAGTGGCGCTGGCTGGCCGTGCTGGGCTGTGTGCCCCCCTCCCTCATGCTGCTGCTCATGTGCTGGATGCCCGAGACCCCCCGCTTCCTGCTGACTCGGCACAGGCACCAGGAGGCCGTGGCTGCCCTGCAGTTCCTGTGGGGCTCTGAGCAGGGCTGGGAAGAGCCCCCTGTCGGGGAGCACCAGGTGAGAGGCTGGTGCTGGGGGGAGGACAGCAGCCAGGGGAGGGCAGCACAGCCTGCTCCCAAGGCCACACACTGTGGGGGGTGGGACCTAGGCAGGGAGGTCACCAGAAAAGCCTGAGCCTGGACCCTCACTGTCCCAGGAAGAAAGGGCTGGGTGGGTCGGGGGAAACACAGGCGTGGAGGACCTGGATGTAGCTGGGGAACTGCAGGGCAGGGGAGAAGGCTGAGTCAGGTTTTGGAGTCAGACACACCTGGGTTTGAACCACCTGCTCTGCCCGTTACCTGTGGTGTGACTGTCCCATCTTTAAGCCCGAGTTTCTTGTGTAAGGTGGGAGTCATAGCGTGCACCTCATGGCGGTAAGGGCTGGGTGAGGAGGGCTGTGGGAGGGGCAGCTCAGGGCCAGGCCTGGGCCTGAGATGAGCGCTGGACACGCTGCAGGTGGTTGGGACTCCTGGACCGGCTTGCTGGCTCCGCCAGCTAGTCAGTCAGAGCTGTGGGGAGGCTGCAGTGATGCGGTGACTTGGTTGCACTCCTGAGGCCACAGGTGGGGCTGGGACAAGAAGCTGAGGCTCATTCCCCAGGCCTTGGGACAGCGGGCCAAGGACGATGCCCCTCGAGAGGGGAGGGAGAAGCTCTGACGGCCGGTCTCTGTCGCAGCAGGGCTTCCACCTGGCCCTGCTGAGGCAGCCTGGCGTCTACAAGCCCTTCATCATCGGCATCTCACTGATGGCCTTCCAGCAGCTGTCGGGGGTCAACGCTGTCATGTTCTATGCAGAGACTATCTTTGAGAAGGCCAAGTTCAAGGTAAAGGGGCCTCGGCCTGGCCTGCCCCATGCAGCTGCCCCACAGTCACCCAGCACAGACTGGAGAGGGAGGGACCCGTCCCTTTGGCTGACCCACCTGCCCAGCCTCACCATCCCATCTCCCTTAGGACAGCAGCCTGGCCTCAGTCGTCGTGGGTGTCATCCAGGTCCTGTTTACAGCTGTGGCCGCCCTCATCATGGACAGGGCAGGGCGGAAGCTGCTCCTGGTCTTGTCAGGTGAGGGCTCGACCCTGTGCAAGTGAGTGCCCTGGGCCGGGCTCCCCACGTTGAGGGAGGAGGAGGACAGCTGAGCATTCGCGAGGACCAATGTCATGGACTAACAAGGCTGCGATTTGACAGCAGCTCGTCACCAAGCACTTCCCCCAGGCCATCCCTGTGCTCGTGGCATCACTGTGTCATGCCTCTAACCTCTGCAGCGAACCTACAAGGAGACGCCACGATGGGGAAACTGAGGGCCAGGGAGGTGAAGTGACTCAAGCTTGTGGTCCTTGTGGGCAAGTGACTTTACGTCTCTGAGCCTCAGTTTCCCCATCTGTGAAATGGGGATCATGGCTGCACCTCCCTCGTTGCTGTTGTGAGGAGTGGGAGGTGGTCCACACGAGGCCCCTGGCAGGAGCTGCGGCCTGTGGACACTTGGTACTGGGAGAAGGGTTTGCTCCGGGATCTTCTTGGAGTTTGCTGAGGTCTGAGGGTCATGGTGGGGTGGCACTGCCCAGTAAGGGCCCCTGGGGCCGAGGTGCCGGAATGCCAAGCTGGCTGCTCTCGGAGAGCTGGGCCTGCTGCTCTGAGGTGCCCAGGCCATGCTGCTGTGGCCACGCTGCACCACGAGCCACTCCTCCCACCCGCAGGCGTGGTCATGGTGTTCAGCACAAGTGCCTTCGGCGCCTACTTCAAGCTGACCGAGGGTGGCCCCAGCAACTCCTCACACGTGGCTTTCTTGGCGCCTGTCTACACGGAGTCCATCAACGCCAGCGTGGGGCTGGCCTGGTTGGCTGTGGGCAGCATGTGCCTCTTCATTGCCGGTGAGAGAGGGCCCGGGGGAGGCTGCGTGAGGGGACAGTCCCTGTCAGCCCCCAGCTCTGCTCCACCGGCTTCCTGCCGCTCTCAGCGAGTCCAGTCTTGCCTGGCCTCACCTCTCTGTCCCCTAGATCTCACTCTCTGTGTTTATAGCTCTGACCACGTGCCAGATGCTGAACTAAGCCCTTCCATGTTCTGTTCGCTTAATCTGCACAGCAACCCTCCGAGCAGGCCCGTCGCTACCGTCTTAGACAAAGCCTGTGCCTAGAAGGGAAGAGGGCGGCCCAAGGCCTCACAGCAAAAGTCGTAGAGCTGGTGGGACCAGACTGAGACCCAGGACCCCTCAGCCCCGCAGGCCGGGAAGCTGGGTCTCTGTGGCCCTGCGGCAGGCTGAGGAGACCGGCACCTGTGAGCTCTGACAGCCGTCTTGCTCCTGCAGGCTTCGCTATGGGCTGGGGGCCCATCCCCTGGCTCCTCATGTCAGAGATCTTCCCTCTGCACGTCAAGGGCGTGGCTACGGGCGTCTGTGTCCTCACCAACTGGCTCATGGCCTTCCTGGTGACAAAAGAGTTCAGCAGCCTCATGGTGAGTGCAGGCCCCGTGGCCTTCCCCGTCGTGCAGTCAGCGGAGAAGCACTTTTTTTTAAAATTACTTTCATCGCAAGTGACTCAGGGTCGGTGGCCTTGCGTGTGGGCTGGGGCCCCACCATACCCGGGATGCCAGCGGTCTTGGTCAGGGGTGGGCAGGTGGGGAACCCAGGCTGTGACCCCACAGGAATCTTCAGTCTGTCTCGGTGGGAGGACAGCTTGGCTGGCCTCTCCTGTTAGTTAATGAACGTCGGGAACACGGGGGCATGCCCCTCCCCCCCGAGGTCTCTGTGGGAAGAGTCGCCAGGACTGGGCCCCAGCCCCCACCTTGGCCACTTCCTTGCTGTGTGGCCTTGGGTGTGATGCTGCCTTCTCTGGACCAGCTTCCTGGAGGGGAGTAACAGCACCGTGCCCTTAGGTTGCCGGAAGCATCAGTTCAGTTCATCATTTTGCTACCTCCTCGCGGATGGACTGGGCAGATGTGGTCTCTGCCCTCCCACGCCTGCGGGTGGGAGGAGTGGCTCGTGGTGCAGCCAACAGAGAGGCGGTTTGGAGCAGATGACCAAGTCCTTTGTCAGTCAGCCGTCCCCTCCGGCTTTCCTGGCTCCTAACGTGTCCAGGCTTGTTCAAGGCACCAGGGACAGCAGTAGATGAGATGGGCACAGTCCCCTTTATGATGAGGGCTTGGAAGGCAGGGTGGGAAGATGACCCCGGCGGGCTGGACCGGACCATGGGGAGGCAGGTCAGTGTGGTGGGGGGGCGCCTGGGGCTGGCCTGGAGCCTGCGGGGAGCCTGGGCCCCACAGGGCTGCCCCAGGAGCACGTCATGGGGGCCCGGGCAGAGGCTGGGCGTGGAGATGGCTTGCTGGGGCCTGGGAGGGGATAGACAGCAAGGAAGGGAGGAAAAGAAGCCAAGAAGGAGGGGACAAAGGACCTAACAGTAACCTGGGGGACAAGTGTCAAAGAGGCTGAGAGAAGGCCTTGAAGAGGCCTTGAAGAGGGAGGGGTCACCAGGTCCCAGAGGACGAGGAGCTGAGGAGGGAGGGACCTTTGGTTCTGGCACCTAGGAGGTCACGGCGGAGGTGCTGGGGGAGACAGGCCCTGACTGAGGGAGACCGGTCACTCCTCCCTCTGCGCCAGTGGGCCCCAGGTGTCCCTCTGTGTCCCCCTGTGCTCACCCTGCTTGATGGCTCACCCATTCCCACCGCACCATGAAGAGAGAGTCCACCGGGCCCAGGGGCCGCAGCTGAGTGTGGAGGGTGCATCTGTGGGCTCTGGAGGCAGATGCAGGAGAGGGAACCCAGCTGTCACTTGATAGTGGTCTCTGCCCGTGGGGCTGTGGCCTGTTTCCCAGCCACCGGCCACACAACATCAACACCTGGGACTGTCCACGTCCCAGAGCTGGGTGGGCACAGAATAGGCGTGGCCACAGGGCAGGCTGGTGTCAGGACACTGCCCAGTGGCAGGGGCTCTCGGCTCGACCACGTGGGGGCCTTCTGACCCGTGGCACACCGTGGCCCTTCCTCTCTGCACAGGACGTCCTCAGGCCCTACGGAGCCTTCTGGCTCACTTCTGCCTTCTGCATCCTCAGCGTCCTTTTCAGCTTGTTTTGTGTCCCTGAAACCAAAGGAAAGACTTTGGAACAAATCACAGCCCATTTTGAGGGGCGATGACAGCCCCTTTCTGGGAGTCTCTACCTCTCCCAGCTGGGCCAGCGCTGGGCTTCAGAGGGGATGGAGCAGCCTGCGACGCTGAACTGGGCCCAGGCCTGGAGCCCCCACCCAGGGGAGCTGGGATCCAAGACCACAGCCCCTCGGAGCCTTGGCCTCTGGGGTCCCTCCTTCCTGTCCCCCTCTCTGCAGCCCACTCCCAGGGCTACAAGGTTGCCAGCCTCCAGGTCCAGTGCCTACTGCTGCTCTGCAGACTCGGGAACATCTTGGAGGAGCTTTGTGGCCCTGTGGTCAGCCTTGCACACTCTGTCTCCTTCGTGACACTGAAGCAGCCGAAGAGGAGGAGGGCTCCTTGGCCTCTCACTTTCTGGCTGGAGATGCTCTTGGAGGTTGGGTGCTGGCACCTGTTTGCTCCTGTCACGTGGCTGCATTATCAGAAGGAACTTTGTTTGCCAAATAAAGCTCTTGACTCAGAAAATCAGGTCATTCTTTTTGGGCTCTTTGTGTGAACCCAGTTTGAGAAGGGTGTGTTCCATCACTTCCACAAACCCAGCCCTGCTGGTGCTGCCCAGAACACCGTGTGGGTTCACTCTCTCATGGTCAGCCATGCCCACCCTTGGCACTTCGAGGTCATTTCTGGCTTCTTCCCTGGGTCATTAGCCATCAAATCTTGTTGAGTTTCCAAAAAAGGCCTTTTTTCTGTTGACTTTAATGACTTTAATTGACTTTAAAGAAGACTTTTACAAATTACTTTTATTCATTATCTAAGTAATACATGTTTATTGTAGGCAACTTAAAAACGGATTTAATATAATCATTTTTATAGCAGTTGACCACCTGCTAGGTACAAATATTAACTCATTTATTTGGGTAGATAATTACCAAAAAAATCCCAGAACACAAAGCGAAGACACTAAAAGAGTATATAAGTGAAAAATTGAGCGAGGAGACACCATAACAGGAAATACAATGTCTATGAGAAGTTCCAGAGAGAACAGAGGAAATCAGGAGCTGGGTATGAGAATAAAGAAATAAAAGAACATGTTTCCAGAAGAAAGTATTCAGATTCACAGTCTCACAGAATGAATGAAAAGCCACGATTAGATTCATTCTTATGAAATTTTAAATTGCCAAGGAGAAAATCATGAAAGCTTCTAGAGGAGAAAAATAATTCACCTGCAAAAGAACTAACTGGCGACGTACTTTTCATTTGCCACAGCACATGTTAAAAAAGACAACAGAACAAAACTGTTTAAAAGTGACAGTAAAATAAAGGCTTTTTAGGCATGCAAGGACTCAGAAACCAGCTCCCTGAAAAAACTACCCGTCCTGAAAAAATTACCGAGATGAGGACATGGTGGCCCATGACTCTAGATGCCCCTTTCTAGCGACACCCTCTGTGAGGATCTGGTTTTATGTCCGGCAGCACCAAGCAGAAGGGCCTGTTCTTCCCACTCACAGCTGCTCTGTCCACTCTCCAGGCTGTGCAGCCTCAGCAAGTGCCCACTGTGGCGTCATCCATGAAGTCATGTGACATGAGGGTCCTAGAGCAGGGACCTGTTTTTGAGGGGAATAGAAGCACACTGTGGTCCAGGCAGAGCAGGACTCCAGGGTCAGTTTCCAGAAGATCTTGCAGCAGCTGCTCTGATTTCAGTAAAGTGTGTGAAGCGATCCACAGGACCCTGGACAGCTTTCAGCTGTGGCAAAATCCAAGTCCCCTGGGGCCTTCCAGAAGCGGGGTCACATCTGTGTGCAGGAACACCTACGTTGCCTGGGCTGGTCTCAAACTCCCAGGCTCGAGGGATCCTCCTGCCTCAGCCTCCCAAGTAGCCAGGACTACAGGAACACACCACTGTGCCCGGCTCGCTTTTTTGTATCTCAATGTAGTAGTAGCAAATTTGCTAACACTATTCTCCAGACTGATTAAAAAAGCTTAATGTAAACCATTTAACAACAAAAGTACAAAATGAAAATGTTCCCAGTGGTCCTCAAGCCTATCCCCTGAAGCGAAGGCGCTGTAGTGATGTGCTGTGCATTTGTGACTTTTTCCCGTATGTGTATTTCAGTCTGAAGCCTGTGTTTTTCACCTGACGGTCCATCTTGAGCACCTTTCCGCGTTCACACATACAGATCTACTGCCAGATTAAGGTTGCCAAGTAAAGAATTGACCCAGAAAATCAGGCCGTGACTTTTTGATTCGAGCTCCAAATTAACAGGTGGATTCCAGTCCCTTCCCCATTTTTATAAGAATTTAACGTTTTTTAAAACTTTTGAGACATTATTGTAAAAGTAACATTCACGTGTTCAAAAAAATTCAACTAGTACAGGATAGAATTATTCAAAAATAAGAGTCTCACCACCCGCAGCTCCACTCCCCAGCAAAACCACGGTTAATACTTTCTGGTTTTGGTTTTCCTGGGAATTACCCATTTGACTTTAAGTCTTCCAAAAAAGCCATCTGCCTGTGGCATGTTGAGCCTTCACCGGGTCAGATGAGGACAGAAGTACCTCTGTGCCACCCTCCCCTCCCCCCATCTCCCTGCTTCGCAGTTATATTTTACGTTTACGTTGTCAAGATTTATAACATCCACATTTTTTCTTATATGTGACTACAGTTGTCTCATGCTTAGGCTGGAGATTGTTTCCAAAAACACAAGCCATGTACTTAGGTGGCACTGACTGCACACGCTCTCGGTGTGGGCATGTGACCAGGCCTGGCCAGCCTGAGTACTGCCTTTCCTGGGCCACGGTGGTGGACACGAGTCCTGGAATCCGGTCAGGACTAATGAGATGTCATTGGAGGCACATTCTCTTTCCGCTGGCCTTGCCCCTGGGAGGACATGGACACGGGGCTCTGGCTGCCATCTTGCCACCAGCTGGCACTTCAGACTGAAGCCGAACTCGGGGAGAAGCGAGCACATTGCAGAGATGGGGAGGTGTACGTTAAACTCTGAGCACTGCCCTGGAATTGTACTTTTCTTTTTGTTTTTTTTTCTTCAAAATAGCCCTCTGCAGAAGACTCTGCCTCTGTCCAAAAGGTTTGGGAAGGCAGGCCCTAGGAATTTTACTTTTTGTAAGCTGCCTTTAGAATAAGCTTTCTGGGTCCAAATGATCTTTTGCTCAAGCAAAGCCGATATGCCTTTAAGTTAGTAATAGATCTAAAATATAATTAGTAATATATAAAAAGAAACCTTCATGAATGGGAGGAGGAAGAAACCAATAAAGAGTTCAGAATATTATAGTTACATAAGTATTATTCACTGTAAACCTAAAGTGACTGGACTCAAAAATATAATCCTGTGTTAGTAAACCTACGTCACTCAAAAAGAAATATTCTAAGTGTCAAGATAAAATGAATTCTCTCTTAAATAATAATTATTTAAAATAATGCCCGATTTGGGTTTGCACCTTATTTAGGACTTGATAATATTAGATTTTTTTCCCCTGGGGTTTTTAATTGCCTTTTTTCCCCTTTATTAAGAAACATGTTATCTTCTTATTACTAGGGTCTTTTCCCTTTGTAATACACTAGCCATTGACTGGAACCGATTTCTTTCTTCTTTCTGACCTATTATTTTGGGGGACTTGCTGCAAACTGTTATCCTAGATTTTCTTTTCATTGAACTCCTGAGTTAATTCCCCTGTTTCTTGGGTTCCACATTTTGCTCCTTGGATTCCATTTTAATTTAACGGAGTACACTGTCATGGGCCACCATGTCCTCATCTTGGTAATTTTTTCAGGACAGGTAGTTTTTTCAGGGAGCTAGTTTCTGAGTCCTTGCATGCCTAAAAAGCCTTTATTTTATCGTCACTTTTAAACAGTTTTGTTGTCTTTTTTAACATGTGCTGTGGCAAATGAAAAGTATGTCGCCAGTTAGTTCTTTTGCAGGTGAATTATTTTTCTCCTCTAGAAGTTTTCATGATTTTCTCCTTGGCAATTTAAAATTTCGTAAGAATGAATCTAATCGTGGCTTTTCATTCATCCTGTGAGACTGTAAATCTGAATACTTTCTTATGGAAACTTGTTCTTTTATTTCCTTCTTTTTTTTTTTTTTTTTTT